CGGAAGAGAGGTCAATTGTAATTTATTTTTATTATTTGAAAGAAACTGGCTTTTATCACCTAATGTAATTTGTTTTAAAGATTGTATCTTAAATTTTAAATGTGTGGTTTTAACTTGTTCTTATATGACTTCATCCTCTGGATTTGATACATTTGTCTACTTGTTTTTATTTATTGTATTTACTTGTTGTTATTTATTGTTTTTATTATGTAATTAATTTCATCAATTGTACTCACCCCATCACGTGTTTGGCGCACTATAATCATCTTTGGTTTTGCGCCATAATCTCTCACTCACTCACTGTCCTATAAGTCACTGAGTGCCCTTCTCACTCTTTACAATAGAGTGTGGAAGGAGCGTACATTTCCCACTGCATGGAGGAGAGCTGTTGTCATTCCTATTGCGAAGCCAGGGACAGACCCGAGTAATCTCTCGAACTATCGCCCAATTGCCCTTACCAGTTGTGTTTGCAAACTGTTTGAAAAGATGGTAAACAGCCGCCTAGTCTACTTCTTGGAAAAGAATAATATTATATCGCTTTATCAAAGTGGTTTTCGAAAGGGGAGAATAACCGTAGATAACATGCTCCTCTTAGAGACATCCATTCGAAAAAGCTTTTGTAAGAAGAAATCACCTTGTCTCAATTTTCTTCGATATAGAGAAAGCTTATGATAAGGCATGGAGATACGGTATATTTCGCGACCTAATTAATAATGCTGTATATGAATAAAATCAAAAGAAAATAATAAATAAATTAAAAATTTAATTTTTCATTTTACTGAAAGAAACTGTCCAGTCCCTAGTGATATTTTTTAATTGTTGATATTCAAAACTAATACATATTACTTTACTATTGGTTTTGTATTTTTGCACAGGATTGTGTAAGATAAATTAATCACATCTATATGAAGGGCTTGATTTCTAAAATTAGAAGTGGCGAAGCTCTATAGAATGCCATCAAAAAAGATGAATAAAGTAATAAATCATTAAAATCAAAGTTATAAAATATAAAAACATAAATGAAAGTTTATTGAATCAATAAATTATTGATAAATTATTTAAATAGTAAAATAAAATAGTGGATCTTGTCTTATTTGGCTTTGGCTGGAATTACAGTTCTACTGAAAAACTAAGAAGTGGCCTGCTTGGTCTCTTTTTCTGAATTTAAATCCTGAATGTATGGTATAATTTACTATTTTAACAGGTGATAGAAACAAAGATCATTCTTTTTCAAGCTGGCTCATAAAGAAAATAAAACGTTATAGCTTCACTAATCAGAATAAACACAATATTAGAAACAATAGAGTACATAAGGAAATTTCTATGGAGATGCGTAGGCATGCAAACAAAGAAAGAAGGATCTAAAACTTTCTACCAACGGTAACATCAATATAATTCTAGCTGTCGAGCGGAAATGATAGGGAAAAAATATTTTCCTCCAAATCTGAACGGATTTATTTGTAAGCTGAGAATGAATTTAAAGCTCCTTGCTAAAGCTAAAGATGATGTGATGCTAAATTTGATGAGTTTAAAGCTAAAGATGATATGATGATTTTCTTGCCACATATTTTTACACCATTTAAAAAATTTGCGCCTTCTCATGGGAAATCACTAGTGTTGGACAGGAATGACCAGTTGGATCATTTCTAGAGCATTTGAGGGGCAAAAATGTACAATCTCTTAAATTCATTGCACTTTATGAAAGCTTCCAGGAATTTGTTGGAAGTCAGCTTTTGACATGAGGGCTGGGACCTTTTTATTCCTCAAAAGCCTCAACTTCTGTTAAAGGATTTGTTTCCCAAGTAAAAGACAGGCATAAATCCAAAACTTTCAATCAAATTTTACTTATTATTCAAATAACATTTTCAAAAGCAAAAGAATTTTGTACTGAAATTTGGTTTAATGACGCTAAAGAAGTGGTGGAGGCCTCTTATTTAGGGCTCCCAGTGCATTCCTGCTAAATTACAATTAATTTCAAAAGTTGAAAAACAGTGGAGCCAGGCTTTGGGAAAATTTAAACTCTGCATCTATGAAGAGCAAAATTTGTATCTGAAATTCACTGCTTCAGTTCATTGTTAACATGTTATATTGTAAATGTATTACATGCAGACACCAAAATTAAGTGCTTAGGTCCTCTGTAAGTCTTACTCCAGCCCAGAATGAGGAACTAATTGTCTTACAGTCAATTAAGTAGATTGATCTGTATTTCTTTATTAACATCATCTGCAGTTGATACATGTATAGCTGCTGCTGTTGCGAGTATTCATATTATAGGAATTTGTTAACCTGGAATATAGAGAAGCCAAAATATGCTGTATCTGCAACAAAGGGGAAAAATCAATATGCAAAATTGTAACCAGTCAAGTTCAGGGTTGTTATCACACACTTTAAACATGAAACTTGACTTTTGTCTTATTCTCTATCAATATATATATATATTAAACAGAGCTTTGAATAACACAAATATTTATGCTTTAAAACTGATGTATTAATTTCCTTTGAATTCCATGTTTTCGGTAAAAGATGTGTATTTTCATTTCTAATGTATAATGAAAATTTTGATACTATTTCCACACCACCCAAATGGAGTAAGTACCATGGTGCACTTTTTTTAACGGGGTTTGCCAAGAGCCCACATCCATGCCCTTCTTACACAGGGATGTCTCCATATTATCAAATAACATGTTTATCTTTTTTAACGTAATCGTAGTTTATTGCATAGTATGTCTGTTATACACTGCCAAGCATCTCTGGAAAAAAATCTTCTTATATGCTTGTATTGATCTTGGCATTCAATTGCAATATCTGGTATCTTGCTGTGATCTGTATAAATATCCTCTACTTTAACAAGTTCAGAATGATGAATTACTCTTTCTATGCATTCTTGGCTTACAAACCAAGAAAGCATTTTTTTTTGTTCTTGCAGAGAGCATAAATACTGAATTTTTGTCTTTCCTTTGTTTCTTTTTATCTTCCGAGATGTCATTATCGTTGCATCAAAACCTGCATTTAGAACAAAATTTTAATGAAAATTAAATTATTTTAAGAGATAATAATAGCTGAATAATTAATGACTTTAAATTTTGATTTATTAGAATGCTATATCAATAGAATTAAGCTAATATCTGATGGGCTGAATTTTTTAAATTATAAACATACATTATTTATTGTTTTAATGCTATTATTGGTACTTTCTGATTATTCGCACTCTTCTCATAGATTGGACAAGGCCCCATATTTCTAACATTTTCTTTCTCATCAGCAAGTTAATTCCATGATGTGATTATGATTTATTTTGATGGGACAAAAACGATTATCAACAAAATGACATTCATATGTATAGTGTGTAAATCGTATGTAGTGAATCACTTATATCATGCATGCATGCTTTGCGTTTGTTATGTGTGAACTCAAAAATACACGATAGCCCTAATGACTCTTGAAACAAAGGTTGCAGATATTCAGAAAATAGCATAATTTTCTTTACAAATCAGTAAAAGATGTTTGTAATAAACACCAATATTTACTTTTAGGACCAGTGTGCTCCATATTACTACTGTTTTGTTTTATAACTTTTATAACCAATTATTTTTTAAGAATTTCTATGATATTAAAACAAATTTGCTTTACATGTGATTATACCAAAGCATTTTATTTCAGAAACTTTATTAAAACTTGGGCCTGATATTTTCATATTTTATCGTAAATATAATTGTATAAGAACCGTATTCTTCTACTTACTTTTTTTTTAAATACAATATTAGGCATTAATTTAGGGTATTTTAATTGCAAACTTCTGTTCAATATAATCATTGTTAATAATTTATTGTGCATGCAATATGCAATTTATCACATTTGCGAATATAGTCTACAGTAATTTATCTATGAACCACAAAAAAGATCATTTTCAACCTTACAGATGTTATTACTACTCAAACAAGTAAATCATGCTGGGGATTCTGAAGTTAAATATTCTATACAACATGTGAAAATGTTTGTTATCTTACAAAAGCATGGTAGAGATCCATTAATAAAATGTAATATTTTTTTACTATGCTATAAGAAATTTTTCATGTATATCACTGAAAAACTCATAAAAATAATCTTTTGAGAGCCAGTTCTGCTTTTATTCTGTAACAATTGAAAAGTATTTAAATTAAATGGAATTACAAATTTCATAGTTTCATAAAATGATTATTGGAAATCATTTTCATTTAAGAATTCTTGAATTTATTTTCATGCTTAAAAATAGCATTTGATTTTCTCCATCTAAGGAATAAATAACTAGCTAAAAATGGTAGATTGCATACTGCGTAATTACCAATCAATATGTGTATTTACTTATGGCAGCCATCTGTGTCCACCATCATGAAATACGACTGTATTAGTATTAATATTTTTACTTGTTAAATTACCTTTTGTCCGGCCTCTTCCTTTCAAAGGTTTTGGCATTTGTATAGAACTACAGCTAGATAATTCTTGTGTCAAATTTTCATTGGTATCACTACTGGAAAAGAATATGTGATATAAAAACAAAGCCAAATCAGATTTTAGTAAATTGTAAGCCAAAATACTTAATGTAAGAAAATTGAAAGCTGAACACTTACTACTCAATATTTTCATGTCTCTCATTACTGGAGATGAAGTCTGCATTTTCAGCATCCAAACTACACAGAAGGAGTATCAATGTATAAATGAAAAAATGAGAGACTCATACTTATTACATGAATATTAGCAAGGGATTGTAATCCCACAAGTACAGCTCAAGTATTTCATTAATTTTATAACAATTTTTTTTACAAAATTTAAGCACAATTATTCACCTGGCAGAGAATACATCATACGTTATGGAAACCGTATCCCCATCAAAAACTCTTTGGTAAAAGTAAGTTATTTTAATTAGTTGCATTGGAACTGATTTGCGTTTTAAGTTCTGCAAAATATGTAAATTTTGTGAATGACTAATTCTTCATAGAAAATGTCCCAAATAGTTACCAGATTATAAAAATGTTAGCAAATTGTAAGCTCAAATACTTACTGCTGAAAATTTTCATTTCTTTCTTCACATGGTGTGCGCCCTGCATTTTCAGCATCCAAACTAGACAGAAGGAGTAACAATGTATAAATGAAAAAATGAGTCATACTTATTACATGAATATTAGCAAGGGATTGTAATCCCACAAGTACAGCTCAAGTATTTCATTAATTTCATAACAATTTTTTTTACAAAATTTTAGCACAATTATTCACCTGGCAGACAATCCATCATACGTTATGGAAACCGTATCCCCATCAAAAATTCTGTGGGGAAAAAGTAAGTTATTTTAATTAGTTGCATTGGAACTTATTTGCGTTTTAAATTCTGCAAAATATGTAAGTTTTGTGAATGACTAATTCTTCATAGAAAATGTCCCAAATAGTTACCAGATTATAAAAATGTTAGCAAATTGTAAGCTCAAATACTTACTGCTGAAAATTTTCATTTCTTTCTTCACATGGTGTGCGCCCTGCATTTTCAGCATCCAAACTAGACAGAAGGAGTAACAATGTATAAATGAAAAAATGAGTCATACTTATTACATGAATATTAGCAAGGGATTGTAATCCCACAAGTACAGCTCAAGTATTTCATTAATTTCATAACAATTTTTTTTACAAAATTTTAGCACAATTATTCACCTGGCAGACAATCCATCATACGTTATGGAAACCGTATCCCCATCAAAAATTCTGTGGGGGAACAAAGTAAGTTATTTTAATTAGTTGCATTGGAACTTATTTGCGTTTTAAATTCTGCAAAATATGTAAGTTTTGTGAATGACTAATTCTTCATAGAAAATGTCCCAAATAGTTACCAGATTATAAAAATGTTAGCAAATTGTAAGCTCAAATACTTACTGCTGAAAATTTTCATTTCTTTTTCTTCACATGGTGTGCGCCCTGCATTTTCAGCATCCAAACTAGACAGAAGGAGTAACAATGTATAAATGAAAAAATGAGTCATACTTATTACATGAATATTAGCAAGGGATTGTAATCCCACAAGTACAGCTCAAGTATTTCATTAATTTCATAACAATTTTTTTTTACAAAATTTTAGCACAATTATTCATTCCCTGGCAGACAATCCATCATACGTTATGGAAACCGTATCCCCATCAAAAATTCTGTGGGGAAAAAGTAAGTTATTTTAATTAGTTGCATTGGAACTTATTTGCGTTTTTTAAATTCTGCAAAATATGTAAGTTTTGTGAATGACTAATTCTTCATAGAAAATGTCCCAAATAGTTACCAGATTATAAAAATGTTAGCAAATTGTAAGCTCAAATACTTACTGCTGAAAATTTTCATTTCTTTCTTCACATGGTGTGCGCCCTGCATTTTCAGCATCCAAACTAGACAGAAGGAGTAACAATGTATAAATGAAAAAATGAGTCATACTTATTACATGAATATTAGCAAGGGATTGTAATCCCACAAGTACAGCTCAAGTATTTCATTAATTTCATAACAATTTTTTTTACAAAATTTTAGCACAATTATTCACCTGGCAGACACTCCATCATACGTTATGGAAACCGTATCCCCATCAAAAATTCTGTGGGGGAACAGTAAGTTATTTTAATTAGTTGCATTGGAACTTATTTGCGTTTTAAATTCTGCAAAATATGTAAGTTTTGTGAATGACTAATTCTTCATAGAAAATGTCCCAAATAGTTACCAGATTATAAAAATGTTAGCAAATTGTAAGCTCAAATACTTACTGCTGAAAATTTTCATTTCTTTCTTCACATGGTGTGCGCCCTGCATGCATTTTCAGCATCCAAACTAGACAGAAGGAGTAACAATGTATAAATGAAAAAATGAGTCATACTTATTACATGAATATTAGCAAGGGATTGTAATCCCACAAGTACAGCTCAAGTATTTCATTAATTTCATAACAATTTTTTTTACAAAATTTTAGCACAATTATTCACCTGGCAGACAATCCATCATACGTTATGGAAACCGTATCCCCATCAAAAATTCTGTGGGGGAAAAGTAAATTATTTTAATTAGTTGCATTGGAACTTATTTGCGTTTTAAATTCTGCAAAATATGTAAGTTTTGTGAATGACTAATTCTTCATAGAAAATGTCCCAAATAGTTACCAGATTATAAAAATGTTAGCCAAATTGTAAGCTCAAATACTTACTGCTGAAAATTTTCATTTCTTTCTTCACATGGTGTGCGCCCTGCATTTTCAGCATCCAAACTAGACAGAAGGAGTAACAATGTATAAATGAAAAAATGAGTCATACTTATTACATGAATATTAGCAAGGGATTGTAATCCCACAAGTACAGCTCAAGTATTTCATTAATTTCATAACAATTTTTTTTTACAAAATTTTAGCACAATTATTCGACTATCTTCGACTATATTTGAACTTAAGATCCTGTTTTTCCTTAACATGAAGTTATAATATCGTATTTAATGATAAATTATTTATGTTTATTGTTCAAAATCACTATAATGCAAAGTGTAATTTCAAATAAATTTTAAGACAAAATTAATTAGCAAGCTTTTTAGCAAAGTTTCTACTTCCTGCTTTATTTACAATGCTGTCATAAGTTTTGAAGATATTCTCCTTGTTAAACAATGTTAGGCACAATTATTCCACATTTAATTAATTCCAGTTTTATATCAAAATCATTTCAAAGTATTTTTTAGCGAAGTTATGGATCAAAATATTCATGTGCAGTAGAAGGTATCAGTATTATTCACTCAGGTCTATCTGACTTAAATGAAAGAAATTTAGGATTTTTCTGTTTTTCTTACATGTTACGATTTTCTTACTCTTCTGTATAAAGTTTACAGTGCAACAACTTAAACATTATTATAACTCGAATTATAGGAGTTTTTAAAAATATAAGCAATGAAAAATCTTTTGTTGACATATATTTTAAAAATCTATGACTTCAAGACAAATATTGTAGTACAAATTTCTGGAATTGTAAAGAAATCGGTCAAAAATGGACTAAGCTAAATATTTTAAATTAAAAAAAGTAACCAATAAAAAAATAAATTTTTTTATGATTAAATTAAAAGAATTGAAGAAAAATAAAATGTACTTTAAATAAAAAAATGAATAAATTTAAAATTAATATAACAAAATTATTACGCAAAATGAACGTAAGTGCCGAATAAAATTTTAAAAATCTAAATTAATAACTTTTAGAGAACGTTAATAGACTTGGATAAAAGAAAATTATGTAATCTAAACAATGTTGAAACTCATTAAAGATCATGAAAGTTTCATAGAAATCGCTCTCATCATATTTACAATACAAATGATATAAAATATAATGTTTTAATATATAATATAAAACTTTAACTTAAACCTCATGAATATCAGTGGGAAATACTATAAACTTATATACCTCAAGATGTACATTGAATTTTAATTTTCACAAAATAGGACTTTTTACTAGTTAATTCTTTAAAAAAAATTTTAATTATAGCTGAATCTTTCATTGCGAAGCAAAAAACCACCGAAAAAAGGTTATAAATACCTTCTTTAAAGAACTTTTAAAATTCAAGTATTTTCAGCGGAGGTGTGAAATATATTTTTAATACCGATTATGCATATAAGACTTTTCATATTATTAAAAATAAGCAATAAATTTTTTGATGTATTGAAATTTATTTTAATACGGAGAAGCCAACTCGTCTTAAGCTCTCTCTGGCTGGCAAAACTCTCGAAAATTTGGAACTATCGGACATTAAACATTGGATAACTTTGCTCAGTATTTAATGATTTCAAAATTAAAAACTTTTCGGCGATAACAGCATGCTATGCAATTTAGTTAGTTTGAAAAAAAAAATTAAATTATAAAAAGTACTTACTTAGTCGATCTTTCGCCTGAGGATGACTTCTGAAAAGTTTTTCCACCATGGATGCAACAGTATTTTAAATAGTAATATATAAGAGATTCATTTGCGTCGCAAGTTCTTTTTGCACGCCATTCAGAGCTCGCAAGAGTTTTCGAATCTCTTTTGTAAAACTGGCAATAATGTTCCTTACAAAAGTTTTCAAGAAAACTTGAAAATTCTTCAAATGTCGAAAATTTTTCACCTACTAACGTAGTCATACTTATGCAAACCAAGTTTAGAACCAAGAATTAAATATTATCAATTATTAAGCTTTGGTGTAGAACCAACTACCTGATCTAGGTTAAAAGGCAGTGGGTCTTTATATATGTAAATACTGAGTAGGATTTGCAGAAAATCAATTCCCTTGGGCCGTGTTTAAGGAAACCCGACGCTATTCTTACCTTAACTACTTTCGCTTGAGACGACCAATTGAAACGTATTCCTTAAAACCCATCCCTTTTTCAAGGCTCTTGAGGAAGTAGAATTGTAAAAATATTTGTTTCTTCAGATCTTACTGTATTACCTTTTAATTAGCGTTTTCACATGAATTTTTATGTATACCAAAAATTAATGTACAATTTATTTGGATCCTTTGATTAAAAATGTTAAATCCAAGGGGAAAAATTTCACACTTGTTTTGATTCTGTTATTGGACTATATAGAAAAAGATTGAATTCTTATTAGTGGTCTGTAGACGAGTGAGTGATACTTGATTTTATGCAAAGTAAAATTAAAGGAGAATTCTTTTTTAATTATTTAAGAACATATTTTTCAAGAAAAATGTGAAAATTAGCCGCACAAGGTCTTGGTTTTGGTTTATTTCGATTGTGACAATGTACACAAAAGCGCAGTCACTGACACTAACAGCAGTGAAACAAATAATAAAACTACCAGTCTACATACGGATAATCCGCCCGTGGACACTACCAATAGTGGGGAAAGTACAAATAACATCACAGTTGATAATGAATTTTTATGTATACTAATCAGGATATACAACAATCTAGACTGCCACAAATACTAATCAGGATATACAACAATCTAGACTTCCATCGATAATACTTGAGGAAAATAAATTTTCGTATGGAAAACTTAAGAAAATGTTCGATCAACAAAAAGTTTAAATTTATTGGAAATAGCATCCCAGATGGAGTTAAAGTGACTGACTACCTCTGATGCCGATACCTACAGGGGAATAGTTAAAATGTTAAAAGAGCTTGGGGTAAAACACCACTCTTACATTCTCCCCCAAAACAAAAATCTTAAAGTTGTTATTAAAGATATACTACGTAGCACTGAGATAGACGACTCAGGCGAACGCAGGTCGCGTAAGCGGGCTCCCGCGCGGTTGCGCTATCCCAGACTAACAATTGTACGCATTGAGATGGACGATATAAAAGAAAAGTTAGAATATTTAAATTACAAAATCATTTATATCAAGCAAATAACTCGTAGAAGAAATAGAGAAGTTTCTAAACTCCCATTTTTTTTACTTACACTTCCAAAAACAGAGAAGTCTAAGAACATTTATCATGAAAAATATTTATGCTGTTTAAAAACCACTATAACTGAATACAAAGGTCGTCAAAACCCTCTACAATGTTATAAATGTCATGGATTTAATCATACTCAAGCTGATTGCAATTACCAACCCAGCTATATCGTTACGCACAAAATCATGAATCTCGAGATTGTCATGACAAGCATAATAAAGATAAACGCTCTGTTGTATAAACTGTGGTGAAAATCTCACATCAAGTTTTAAAGGGTGTATGAAGTCCCCTGAGAAAAGAGGATATACAAAAAACTTATTCAAGCAGAGTAACTGAAGTTAAATCATATGCTCAGACACTTGCCTTATGCACTTATAATGAAACCGTTAGCGAAGCAAAAAAGATCTTTTCTAACCTCGCCGAACTAGTTTCGGTTATCAAAAATGCTGGCTCGTCCAAATTACTCAACAAATAAGACAATTAAAAAATAACAATCAGTAAAATTAGACTGTAAAAGAGTCAAATAATGGGTCGACGTAATGTTATTAAAGCGCCCACACAAGTCATGATTGGGAACGCGCAAAGCGTTTTACAAAAAATGCAGGAATTTCAAAACTTAACTTTCTAATTAATGACATTGACATAGCACTGATTACATAAACGCATGCAAAACCCTGTAACAGCATGAATATTGCCAACTGCAGATGCTATCGGGGCGATAGACTGAGTCACAGGGGTAAGGGGGTCGCAGTTTTTTTGCTTGCAATCCTGCCATATCAAAGAGAACAGGAGAAATGGTCACGAGGTCATAGCTGTTTCTGTGTTACTCCCTCATTACGGAATTACTTACTTCAGTTCAATGTATAATTCTCCAAGTAATCCATTAGACGAGCAATTACGGAACTGCAGAAGATCTAATAGTAATGGAATTACTTTATTTAATTTTATTAATAACCACCCAGTTTACTTTTATGCTCCTTCGGAGTACACCTACCTACTAAATAATGTCAGAAGAGGAGATATTCTTTTAGACGTTTTAATATCTACTACCTCTATACCATTAGAAACAAAAATGGACTTAACTTCTCACCATATACCAGTCATTGCTACCCTAGGTACAAATAAAGTCGCAGACACAAAGTGCATCAAAAGCACAGACTGGAATATTTTTAATGATTTCCTTGTTAAGCATCCACCAGAACTTAAATCCACTTATGAAATTGGAATTGCAATTGATAATTTAACTTCACAACCATGACACTCGTAAGCTCCTACCAGAACAAAATCCGGAGATTCTCCCCCGTTACATCAACGAACAAATTAAAAATAGAAATAAGCTTAGAAAAAGATAGAATCTAACTTGGAACATCGTATTAAGAGTGAATTACGTAAACTGAATCGTATTATTAAGAAAAACATCAGTAATTATCGAACTGAAAGATGGAACGAGAGAATTCAAAATTTTAAGGAGCCTGGAAATGCCTTTTGGAATTTCACCAAAAGACTTCGATATATTCCTGTCTGCATTTAACCTATTCAACGTAGGTCTACTATTGCATTTACAGATAAAAAGAAAGCCATGATTATGTCAGATCAATTAGAAAATCAATTTATGCCTAACAGGTCGCCATGTAACTATACGTTCACTTATGATGTTCGTTACTGTATTCAAGATTATCTCAGCGGTCCTTCTGCTAGATTTAAGACCCACTTCACGTCTCCTAATGAAGTTATTAATATCATCAAACGTTTAAAAAATAATAAAGCTCCGGGGTACGTTGATATTACAAATATTACTATTAAGGATCTCCCACTTAATATCATCAAA